GAAGAGCGGCTGCTGCACCTACCCTGCCCCCTCGCTTGATCCCCACTTCTTTTCTACTCTGGTCCTCGATCTCCTTTACCATCCTCTCTCCTGGGGCCATTTCCATTATAGAATGTTGTGTGAAACTATGATAAATTAACACTACATTAATTATTAACATTTGAAAATGCATCTTTAATGCAGCGTGACTGCGGTGTTTGAAAGCCTTGGTGTTTGAGAGTTGGAGGGCTTCGGGGGGCCACCCAGTCGGTGGTTCTCACCACTAGCCCTCCCCCACCCCAGGAGGTTCTCACCAGTCTGGGGCAAAATGAAAAAAAACTAAGAATAATGTACTACATTTTCAGAAAGCTGAAGCTCCTTCTTTGTATTTTGGTGCTGTGAAATGACAGCGTTAGGAAATCGGTGATGATAAAACAAACCTGGGGAAAATAAAAAGTCGACGAGTCTAGGTCCCACCGTAAAAAAATTTCAGTTGGAACCTCTGATCTCCGCCCTTCCTCCTGACGCAGACACACCTCCCCTGGCACATCCCAGCCACACCCTCCCTGCACTGGGGAGGGGAGAGGACGGCAGGGAAGGGCCTGGGAAAGTCGCCCCCCCCAAAAAAAATAATTGCCTCCTCATTCTACCAATTAACGCTTAAATCTGTTTGTACAAATGCTTTACTTGAAATGCAAATGTGCCCTGGAAGGATCAAGCCTATGGGTCATTCAGAAAAGAATGAATTACTTTAGTGGGAATTACTTAAATCACACAAAGAGCCACAAAGAGCTTTACAGCGGCGAGCACGGCGGCTCTCCGGGACCGGGATGGGGAGGGCATGAGGGCAGCACCACCAGGAGGAGAAAGGAACCGGGATCTGGGCTCCAGGGGAGACTTGGTTGTTAGGGGATGGGCGTGTCCTTGGAGAAGCCAAGGGGCACCCTGAGGACTGGATATCGGATTTGCGATATCCAGGGACTACTGGGTCCCTGTGTGCCCTCAGCCTCCCACCCACCCCGGGCACAGGGAGGATTGTGGACCTAGTCCTCGGCTGCAAACCGGACTCTGGGTTCAGTCTCTCTGGGCTGGGCTGGTACTGGCGTCTCCCCATCTCCTCCCTGCCTCTGCCTGGGAGAAGGTGTCCAGGCTCCTGGCATCCAGGGCTATTTCCTGTAACAGGACAGCTCCCTGGGGCTCCTGGCCTCAAGGTCCAGGATTGAAACCTGCCCTCCTGCCCTCTCTCTGCCCACTGCGGCTGTCGGCACGCTCCTTCCCAGGATGCCCAGTGGCACGTGCCCTACACGCTCCCTAAAACAGGAACACCGGCCCTTTGCATTTTAAGGGAGTGAGAACTAGAGAAAATGAGAAATTAGGGCCCCCAAACCCCACTGTCAGTCCCTTCTTCAAACCTTTCTGAAGGTCCCGCGAGCTGGGACCTGCCCTGGACAGAGGACAAGCTCAGTGTTGTTAGAAACCCCAACTGGTCGAGAAAGCACAAGCCCATTTTGGGTACTCAGGGTAGAAACCTCTGTGCAGGGGCTCCCCATCCCAGCACAGAGCCCACGACGCAGGGCCTCCATGGGAACCCATCGCATTCGAGGCCCGGGCGTTCTCTTGCCTGTGGGGAGAGGTGAGAATGCCAGAGAACAAGAGATGGGAGCAGGCACCCCTATCAGCAGAGCTGCACTGCTTTCAGGTGCTTCCTGACCTATACCCTGGCGGTTCCTTCTAGTCTGTTCTTTCTTTCCAACCTCCTCAGACCCTTGGAGGGCAGGGGCTGGGGAGGCAGAGTGGGCAGCAACATGGGTTTCAAACCAAATCCTGGCACTGCTGCTTCCTAGCTGTGTGGTGTTGGGCAGGTAATGACATTCTGTGTGTGCGGTGTCCTGGGCTTAGCACACGGGGCTGCTGTGAGACCACAGCGAGTTTATGCAGCAAAGCACTCAGAGCAGGCCTGCGGTACGCGGGCCTCTCTCTGCTGTGGCCTCTGCCGTGGCGGAGCACAGGCTCCGGACGCACAGGCTCAGCGGCCATGGCTCACGGGCCCAGCCGCTCCATGGCATGTGGGATCTTCCCGGTCTGGGGCACGAACCCGTGTCCCCTGCATCGGCAGGCGGACTCTCAACCACTGCGCCACCAGGGAAGCCCATGAATACTTTTAATATTCTTTTTTCAAGGCATATGTATTGGCTACTGGGTGGGAACAGAAAGGTATATACTACTACAAATGGAGTACATTGTAAACTGCTAATTTTAGAGTTTAAAAAGTCCTGGGTTCAAGTCCTGGTTCTGCCATTTGATCTTTGAGACTCAGTTTCCTCATCAATATAATAAGAGGAGGGCTTCCCTGGTGGCGCAGTGGTTGAGAGTCCGCCTGCTGATGCAGGGAACACGGGTTCGTGCCCCGGTCTGGGAAGATCCCACATGCCGCAGAGCGGCTCGGCCCGTGAGTCATGGCCGCTGAGCCTGTGTGTCCGGAGCCTGTGCTCTGCAACAGG